GTTTTGCTACAAGTGCTCTATGAAAAATCACTTGACAGGTGCTTATTTAGGCACTTCAAGTGTTTCTAACAAACTCAGTCAGAAACGCTATTGATTGTAGAAACACTTTTAGCCATTCCAGAAGCACATAAATTTTCAGTGCAGGACTTCTTTTTTATCTTATGGACGCCCAAGATCGATTAAATTGATACACATTAACTAACATCTAAACTAATTTGATTGATTGATGATCTTTTGTCAGTGAAAACGGGGACATCGGTGTCTGGAGCAGCGTGGGCGAAGATGAACGTGACGGCGAAAGCAATAACAGGAGGAGGATTTGAGGCTCTGTACAAGCAGACATTTGCGACTTATCCCAACGAGAAGCTGTACAAGTCATTTGCCTGTTATCTGTCCACGTCCACAGGACCAGTTGCCGGAACTCTTTACCTCTCTAATATCCATACAGCTTTCTGCAGCGACCGCCCTTTATCCTTCACCGCCCCCTCCGGCCAGGTCACCTGGAGCTACTACAAAATAATGGTACCATTGGGAAATATTGCAACTATCAATCCAGTGGTGATGAGGGAAAATCCAACGGAGAAGTACATCCAGATTGTGACGATCGACGGCCATGATTTCTGGTTCATGGGTTTTGTTAATTACGAAAAGGCGTCGAGGCATTTGAGCCAAAGTATTTCAACATTTGTGGCATCTGGAGTTGCCGTCGAACCAGTCGTTGCTGCAGACAAGGACATTGCATACCAGAAGCCTGACAAGGCTGACTATTAGGAGAGCTACTCGTCTTGTTAATATTTTGCTGCTCTGCTTTGCACTGCTCGTGAAACCGTATTGTCTTGCTTTTTTTCTACAATATTTATTTCTCTCACCCAGTGTGCGAGTTGGATTTTTTCGTTATAACTCGGCTCGACCGCGATTATTTCTTTCCGTTTCCAATTTTCCCAGTTATGTAATAAAACCTTTTCATATGTGTAATGTCACACAATCTAATATTCTCCACAAGACCATACATGATGCAAGTTGGCTCTCTAAGTTCCTTTACCACATTTCATGGATGGTGAATTCGATACTAAATTAAGCAGCTCATTGTGTGATTTAACCCTAAATGTATTAGACAAATATATTAACTTGAAATCTAGTCTCGTAGCATGACTTATCATTAATTAAGAGAAACCGAACGTCTTTAACAATATAAATGCCTTAACAAATGAAAATAACTATTGCATCTTGATTCCTTTTAAGCTTAAATAGGATCAAATTTTCAAATCTCAAATGCAAAATATAACATTCAATCCAAAATTGACTAGCAAGTACTGATTCCGAAGCGCTACCAAAGACCTCCTCCTTGGGGTTACACCCGCTGTATGTATCAGTTTGTTCATCTTACACTAAGTTGTTAAACTAACATGTGCCACTAACTGGGGAAAATACCAACTCGCAACACCGCTTTAGCATCAAGCACTGATTAACGCTTCTTCTTGCTTCCTTTTGCAGCACCGGATTTGGATGGAGTGGCAACCAGGTACACAAATAGAACCACAATGGACACCACAGAGATCAGAGACCCATACTTTGCCAGAAGCCTCTGCATACAAGAAAAGGTCAAACTGTAAGGGGCGAAACAAAGGAATGTTAAAACTCCTTCCTCCATTCAGAAAATACGGTAAATTTAGCAAAAGATTTAACAAGTTTCAGAGGCCAAAGATTCAACAGCATAAAAAAGAGTGTTTCATACCTTAACCTGAAAATTTTGGCCGCCAACAGAGAGAATTTCATGAAAACATAAAACACCACCTCAGTTAACACCGTAAAATTTATCCAAAATCAGATTGCATAATATAACCCTTATCTAATGAAGAAACTTACCCACTCAAATTTCTTCTCAGGAGGCCTGTCTGCAAGAACATCTAAAGGAAATATTGGAGTTGAATAAGACTCCTGTAAGAAACAGAAAAAAGTCAGAAGGTATACATTTATTCAGCAAATATGAGTGGCAAAGGAACCGGCTGAAGACATCCAACCTGTAAAGCAGCCTTTGTGGGAATGCGGAATGTAATAAGAGCTGGTGCACCGTTGAAAAGTAATTTTTCTTTGCCCTCCAATTCAAAAGAGTGGGATATAATGCCACCTCTGCAAATCCCATTTATGCAATCAATAACTAAGAACCAATCGGAGAGTAAGCCATGGAAAGCAGAAAATGTTACTAGAAAAAGTTGGAACTTACGCATCAAGCCTTTCCCATGACTTGGAAGTGCTACCACTAACAACATCGAAGATATCCTGAGGCCAGGTCTCATCACTCAAGCTTACATCATAAGCCGTGCTGCAAAGGAAACATTACAAGCTTTCGTTACTAATATATAAAAATACAAAAAATACAAAAATAAATCTCAGTTAACTTAAATACACAATCAATAGACAGGTGGATAGTCGAAAAAAATGAAAGAGTGAATTCCCATACAAAAACAAAAGCCTGCAGAAATGTGCAGAATTAAACCACCAAAGCTAATGTAAGAGGGCAGGAAAAGAGATTTACAAGTCCTCTTATACTTGACTTCAAAAAGCAATGTTCAGTTAGATACAGCACACAGACATGAACATACATAAAAACCAATTCCACAAAGTTAGACTTAGTAGTGCTCATTTTATATTACCAAGCTATTTTATGCTGAAAGGAAACTACAACGGAACATTAAAAACTGATATTCTTTCACAACTCGTAACACTTGTATTTGTATATACTCCGACTCAAACAAGCATGTAACTTTCATTCTATCCTTCCACAAAAAGACCAATTCCTTCAACAATTTCTCTTGCCTCACCTTCCCCAAACATTTTCGGCATGCTTCAATTAGTTCCGGTAACAGAGTCATTTCCTATGCAATAAGTACAACAATACAAACACAGCTAATACTGTGACACTGAGATTCCAACAAAAATTGCAGCTTAATATTTTGAATGCTTATGTTATCAGATCAACCATACAGAATAAAAAACATTAATGTCTACAGCGGCATATAGACCATCAGTTCGGGATCAGTTGCCGAAACAATTCTGATTTGACTTTCTATCCAATACGGGAACAAGTAAAATTCCAAGATTGAAAACCCCATTCGTCTAATTTGTTCGAAATTTCACAGAAACCAAACAGAAACAGGATTCAACAAAAACAAATCCAATAAACAACAAACAATTTACAATTAAACCGCAATACCTAAGACAGACAATCCATTTCAACCGACAGGTAAGCTAGATAAACCCCACATGGAGATAAGAATAGATTAACATTAGCAAAATCAGCATACACGCAAGAGATCGAGCGGATCTAACAGAAAGCATGTAAAATTACTGAACTTTAAGCTGGATCAGTAAATAAAGAAGCAAATACAACGAAAATTGAGAACGGGAATGGAGGGATTAAGAAGAGCCTACGAAGATCCTTGGTTGTAGATGTCGATGGAGACAAGGACGCGCTCGGCGCCGGACTTGAGCCGGTTGAGGGAGGCCTTCTTGTGGGTGACGATGAAAGGCACGTCGGAGCTCGCGAGCGCTGACGTGAACAGAAAAAGAGCTACCGCCGTCCAGAGGAGAGCGTTGGTGATCGGAATCGCCATCTGGATTTCCGATGGAGGTGGTGGTGAGTCGTGATTGAGTCGCTGAGGTGAGGTAAGGTTTTGCTTGGTTTGGACCCGTTCGCAAATGCTTGGGATCCTCGACTCTGGAAAATGTTAAATTGATTCACACGTCCGGTCCAAGGGAAGACCCCTAGGGTCTGTTTCGTAATTAGACTTGATTGGACTATTATACGGTATATTTTGCTTGCTTTCTTGATTTTATTTTAATTTTTGACCTATCGTATTTCTCACCATATCAAATAAAGTCGTATGTTTGGAGGAAGTTCTCATTGTGATCGAAATACGGATGGTATATTACGTATTTTTATTTAAATAATGAAAAATAAAAGTATTTTTATTTAAGTGATGAGAAATTTTATTTTTTAAATTATTAACTTTTTAATATATATATTCTATCATTTCTATAATAACATCATTTCATAATTCGATCTAAAAATTAAAAATTAAAAAAGTATGTAAAAAGTAAAATAAGATATGTGGATTTCATGCTTCTTGCAAATTACAAAACAATCGGTAAATGCATGAGCAAAAGTCAACAACCAATTTACTGTTTCATTTTTATATTACTATTTCAACTAAAGTATCCTTCCATCCGGATCCTTCAATCTTGTCCTTCAACCGCATATCGAACGGCCATAAAAAATTTTTTTTTTGCTTTTTTCTGTTCATCTTTTTCCTCTTCTCACTCTCTCTCTCCCGGACTCTCTTCTCTCTCTATCTAGAAGGACTTGGTTCCAGTTGTGAGAAACCAAAGACCGGAAGACAAAGGTATGGGTCGGCAATTGGAGCCAACACCCATCGGCGAATGCAGAGAATTGAAGAATCTGGAGGATCCAAATTGAAGAGGTCTGGAGAGAATCTGGACCCGCAATCAACGACATCCAATATGTTTGCATATGTAATTTTTTTTATATAGCAATGTATTATTAGATCACGTAACAGTGAACTCATTCTATATAAGTCGTTCTTCTTGTATGCCGCATATATATTAAAAATTAGTTGTCTTGTTAAAACTTCGCTAGAAATTTCCTAACTAGATATATGGTCAAAATTTGAGGATTTAGCATTTTTCTTCCATCATATGATTTTTGTTGTGAATTGAAAATAGTAATTATCTTCTTTAACATAGAATGAATAACTAACAAGATTGACAACCATGCTCTATCGTACGTATGATATAGATACTAGTTATTTTGAGTAAAAGGAGTCCTCATCTTCTTTAATTTTTTAGTGTGGGATTTATACTCTCAACAATATGCATGTAATGTGTGTGTGTGTATGCAAATGTTGATATGAGGGAGAAGATCGAAGCTAACTGATGAGGGGCGTGTAGCAGTACGAAGTGATTTGGACTTGGAGGGAAGAGAAGAAGAGGAGGGCCTAGCATGAAAGAAAAGAGCCTGTGAGATTAGCCAAGGAGACTGCCTGGATTCCAAACATGAATATAAATTTTAGACAGACAATTAAATAATGCCATATATTCTTTCATGAAATCGGAGGCGGGCAAGTCATCCTTGGCTACCAAACAACGCTCTTTTCTTCATGTAAGGCCTCCAGCTTCCTGCGCATAGCTACTACATCAAATTCGATATCCCATCAACGTCGACCTTGCGATCTGTCACGTACAATGCACAATGCTGAAGCTGAATAAGAAGAAAGAAGGGTATAGCATGAGAAGAAGAGGCTGTCAAGTTAGCCAAAGGAGACCTGCCTGGTGCCTGCTGCTGGGAAACCCAACAACGTAGGACTCCTCTTGGATTGGATTGGATTAGAATTAGGAGAGGCAGCAGGCAAGTCATCCTTGGCTACCAAACAACGCTCTTCTCTTCATGTTATACACTCTCTTCAATATTTCCTTTCCTCCTTTGATTTGATATCTCTCTATCTAATCCAGTTATCCCATGCATGCTCTAATCCAACGCCTTGGACTCCCTATTTATAAGCTAGCTTGCATGCATGCCAGCCATATTGCCATGCAGCACTACTGAGTACTCATCGCTTTCGATTGAGACGAATAATATTAACCGTGCATATAGAGAGATAAGATTCTGATAATGGTAAAAAATTAGATCATCACCTGTATATCATTATCAATTTCTAGGCAGGGACGGAGCTAAAAATTTCTTCTAGTGGGGGCAACCTGAAAAACACTAAGAAAACTTTATTATATTATGGTTTATAACCAAATGATAATGTGGATGATTTCAAATGACGATGTTCACAATTGCAATGTTACAAAAATTTCAGTAGTTGTGGAAAGTGGCAAATTGATGAGAAAAATATTAACACATGAGAGGCGGAGGAGGGGTTTTTCAGTTTGAATGACAGAACAAGATCACTTTTACTCATATTATATTTGATATAGCGTAGAAGTAGTATGAATGTATGTTTGATATTAGATACATACTTTCTTCAAGGATAACATGTGTATATCTATAATTGCAGTATGCAGCTTAACCAACTAATTACTTGAGTGGGAGCATCTACGCCCAGGGCCTTCATTGGCTCCGTCCATGTTTCTAGGTTCCTTTATTATTTTACAATATATTAATTAATTAATTAATTTTCTCATTTCATTTCATATGGGATATAGCTTTGGCTGCCCATACCACCATATATATTGGAATATATTCTATCCTCCTCAACTAGGTGAATGAATGGGAATATGGGACCTCCTCCTCCTCCTCCTGCAGGCTCCAATATTATTTCTATGTATTTTTATATTCATATCCAACTTTCCTTGTTAATTAGCTGAATGAAATAGTTGTTCAGACAAAATTTCCACACAATTAAGCAAGAGACTCATAATTAAATGACCATATATGCATTGTATGCAAATTGCACGTTAAAATTGGTCAATAAATATGCTCCATATGTTATTTATAACCGATCCTTTTAGCTGCTTTGAAGGACTTATACGCCTCAGTGGACTGGATCATGGATGCATCTCAGAGCCAAGATTTGCTCTGCAACTGGAAACACTTGCCTCTCTTTATTTAGTGAACTATTTAACTGTATATTTTATATACCTAATTGTAATTTGATTGCAATACACCAAGTTGTGCTAGCGTGAGTTGAGACTCACACATCGGCAGATTACTAGGTTGATATGAGCTTCAATTATAAGCGATTTTAAAGGCCCTCGTCAATAACTAGTTTTTTGGGGGATGGTACCGATGTTGGTGCGCTTGTGCATTCCTTGAGTCGTTATAGTGTTGGTGACTAGCTGATTTTATTATTTTCAAATTAGTATAGAATCTAATGCGCAAATAGATTAATTGCTCTCATCATTCAGGCCTCGGTATTTTTCATGACCACCTTTAAACATACGTTGAAATTTGAATAGAGATGGAAGAGAAGATTATGACCTCACATATAAAGGTAAGAAGAACAAAATCTAACATGAAATCCTTCTCCTTTACCTACAAGTAATATGGAACACTACTACTAGTAATACTACTCCTCTCTAGATAATAGATATCCCTTTCTATTCCTTTTTCGTCTATCGATCCCTCACGTCACCTCACCTCTCTCACTCAGCCGTGATCTCTAGGGGAACATGATTCCAGACTTTACCAGTGGCATCGGTCAAGTGTCAACCCATTAATTGAGAATTTGAGAATGGAGATGCCCTACATAAACCCCCTAATCTTGCAAGGTCAAATGCCTCCCCACGAAAACCATAACCACATCTCCACCCTTTCTTTTTTCATTGTTGACTCTGGATGAGGATCCTCTTCAAATCCTATTTGTGAGGATCCGGGGATCACTTCATCGTGTGGTCAATTTTCGTCAGGTATTGTTTGTGTTTAATTTTAAATTAAAAAAAAACTCAAAATGATTTTTGGCCGCAAGATGACAGATGAACGGACACAATGTAGCAATCTCCGGAATCCTCACAAATAGGATCCGAATGGGATCCTATCCAGTTAACTCTAGCTCAATCTCATCAACTTATGGTTTTAAAAAAAATGATTTCCAACACTAATTTTTTCTCCTCATACTTCTATTTATTTGTGGTCTTTAATTTTCTTTTAGTTCGACATATGTAAGGGCGATCTTGCATACAACCGATTGTGTGCAATCTTGCATGTCTCACAAATTGGCGAGGCCAGGATCAAAATAGATTTGAAAACGTGGATTATAACTCAGTTTTTGTGAAAATTTTGAAACTTTTAGTTTTAGGAAATGTTTTGCAGGAGCTAAGGAAAATGTTGTAAGACCTTTAGATGTGATCCTACCATTTATTAGGTCCGAACTTTTTTTTTATTGGTTTTCAAAGTTGGAAAAAAAAAAAACTAATAGTGGGGCCCTCAAAAATAATTTTTTATGTGTCAAAAATCTTTGTAAAGTCCTAAACTAATATTAAGAAATATGTGGTGTTTGAGAATGACTCGAATTTTGACTTATAATGAATCTTGTTGATTTTTTAAGTCTCGAATTTTGATGTTGTAAGACATTTGGATGTGATCCTACCATTTCTTAAGTCTCGAAATTATTTTTATTGTTTTTTTAAGTTGATAATTGAAAAGGTAAACTAAACTAATAGCGCGGCCCTCAAAAATATTTGTAGGTGTAAAAAATATTGGGAATGTCCTAATATTAATTTTAGGAAACATTTGGGGAGACGAAAATGACTCAAATATTGGCTTATAATTAATAAATTTTGGAAAATTTTCCAAAATCGTTTTGAAAACATGGGTTGTAACACACAAATTTTGTGACATAGTTAACATTTTTAGTTTTTGGAAATATTTTGCGTGGGAGCTCAATGAAATGTTACAAGACATTTGGATGTAATCCTACCATTTATTAAGTCACATAACTATTTTTTATTGATTTTTAAAGTTGAAAAATAAAAAAATAATATACACTAATAGAGGGCCCCCAAATATATTTTGTGTGTTGAAATTTTTCGGGATGTCCTAAATTAATTTTAAGAAGTATGTCGTGCGACAAGAACGACTCGATTTTAGGCTTATCATGAATTTTGGAAAAATTCCCAAAATCGATTTGAAAACGTAGGTTATAACTCACAATTTTTGTGAAAAAGTTGAAATTTTTAGTTTTAGGAAATATTTTATGAGGTAGCTAAGGAAAATGTTTCAAGATCTTTGGATGTGATCCTATCATTTATTAGGCCATGAGACTATGTTTTTATTGACTTTTGAAGTTGAAAAAGAGAAAAATAATATAAAATAATATTGGGGCAACTAAATATTTTCTTTGTGTTGAAAAATATTGGATAATGTCCCAAATTAATTTTAAAAAATATGGTGCAAAGAGAAATTGACACACCCCGACCCGGAATGTCCACTAGGACTCCGAATCGAGTTATGTTGGCCGACACCTGAAAGGTGACGAAGCCATAAAGTGTGATGATGTGAAAAAATGTGAATAAATTTAAACCTAAGAATGCCTAAATACCAGAGTGCACCGGTGAGCGGAAATGAACCCACGTTACACGTGACATTATAGCATAAGCAAGTACAGAATAGTGAATTAAGAATCGTACCCTCGAAATAATCTCCAATACTAAGAATTGCCACGAATCTTCGACGATAAGAAAACTCAGCTAAAAAGACTTGGAGGGTGAAGACCAGACAAATGTGAGTGGCCCTGTAAATAAAATTTTAATAGAACCCATATAAAACATTATAACCCATCGCTACAACACCTGTATAATTTCCAGAAAATATCATAAATATATCACAATACAGCATCTCGTCAGCGATATCAAATAATCATGTGATTAATAACTCATACTAGTACGCAAGTCGGAGTCACCTATGGTGACCTGTACGACTTACCCATATCTCATCACATATACTAGTTCATCACATATTTCATCACATATGCTAGTTTATCGCATATTCATCACATATGCTAGCTCATCACATATTCATCACATATGCTAGCTCATTACATATTCATCACATATGCTAGCTTATCACATATTCATCACATATGCTAGCTTATAAGTCGGAGTCACCTCTAGTGACGTATACGACTTATCCATATCTCCTCATATATCTCATTAATCATTGCTAGCATATAAGTCGGAGTCACCTATAGTGACCTATACGACATATTCGTATCTCATCGCATATGCAAATGATATGTCAGCCAGATCCACCTCTTGTGCCTGTACGGCTAAGTCCATAGCTCATATCTCACTCTAGCCGGAGTCACCTCTAGTGACCTATACGGCACTACGCCTGCACACGAGTCGGAACCACTGTAGTGGTTCCGACTTATATTTCACTCAATCTTATCGCTTGGCTATTATGAGAGAATAGAATTGAGCATAATTATATTTCACCCAATCTTGTCGTACAAACCTTTGTTTTAGTGGTTCTGACTTATGTGCAGTATATTGCCGTATAAGTCATTGCAGTGACTCCGGCTAGATTGACTTTTGAGCTATGAATTCAGCCGTACAAACCACCTCAGGGGTTCCGGCTAAAATATCATATTTCCATGAAATCATTCTTACCTGGATTGTTTACTTTGTTATATTTTGGCATGGCATACATATGAATATGATTATGTGAGCGTGAATTGA